AATCAATCGTATCAGCAAAACATGTGAAAATGACATATTATAATACAAATCTAAAAAAGGAGTGCACGTAATATTAAAAAATATTCAAGTAAATGAAATGTCATAATTAAAAAATGAGTTAGGTCAGAATAATTTTAAAAGCCAAAACCTTTGTACATCGTATATTTCTGTAAACTAAATCACTGCAGCCTTGGCTCAGGATTCTTAATAGTCCTTCCTTACATTTATTTATGTTGTTATATATATATATATAAATATATATATACCCGAGAAAAAATATTTTCTTGAGTAGGAGGCTTTTGTAGTAGCAAATCATGTTTTCAGATAAAATGGTTTATCAGCATTTAATGTCAATCTTGTCTCTGACAGTGAAATGCGGATTTTGCTTATACTTTGGCCAGCGATACAATGTTTTGGGAATCGGTGTCATGCCATCACTTAGAGCTATGACAGTTTATCCCCGATTCCGATGCAATGGTAGTTTTGTTTTGTCGCGACATCTGATTGTTCACAGGGATAAATCTGTTATACCTTGTCAGAAAAATACTTGCCACCACGGCATTAAAGAATCTGAGGCGCAAAATAAACTGACGATGATGTAGTGAGAAAACATAAAAAAGGACAGCTGTGAAAAATGGAACAAGTTATTCCTTATTTTATATTTATATATTTGTATGAATAGGTACGGCTATTTTTGAAAATATTTCTTTTTAAGATATCCAAAATGTGTATTGGATTTTCTCGTGAATCGGAAAAGCAAACGTTTCGTATATTAACAGGTAAATGTTGTTTAAAGCCATGTATGAAAAAAAAAAAAGTATTATACAATTCTAGAAACCAAGTATTCCTGGCCTTGAATAGAAAAAATAGAACTAAAATCTAAAAGTATAGTAACTTCAGGAAAATCATTTTTTATAATTTAAAAATTTTATTTCCTAGTTCTGATACTATGCACTAAACGTAGGATCGATATGAAGATAAATGCAATATCTATTTGGACAGCGGTTTATATTGCGTTTCTGCTACCAAAGTAGAACTTTCCCACAAATCTGAGCTGATCTTTTATTTAAGAGAAGGCAATACTGAAAATTTTTTAACTGATGTCTTAACAAGTATTATTTGAAGTAACATATATACTTAATATAGTACAGGCACTATAAAATATACACAGTGCATCTTCAAAATTTTCGGACTAATCTTCTTTTAACAATCTTTCGAAACTAGTTATCATTATAACAACTCAATTTCCTTTTTCAAAAATGCCATCTGCAAACAGACAGAATTTTTTACGCTATTAAGTGTTCGCTTTGAGACAATGAAAATATGCTGCCATGTAAAGTTATGCAAGGAATGCCGATAACAAAGTGGGAATTAATTCCGATTTTTTTTTCCAATAAACTGTGATTGAACACGAAACTTTACTTATTATCTTAAAAACATCAAAACATCAACTGTTTAGGCTGAAGAAGGTTCACAAGAGCCAGAGAAACTTCGATTTCGAAAACGATGTTTTGTGGCTTTTTTTATTATTATTATTAACAGTATTTCACGAGGAACTTGTTCATCAGGGATAAATGGTGAGTTCCATATTTTATAAAGATGTAATTTACTAACATCCGAAAACAGCTCAGTACATTATGCCTAAAAATGTGCAATCAAATAACTTGTTTCTGCTGCGTCACACAGTTCTATTCTCGGAAAGTAATTTCTAGCAGCTCAAAGTGACACGATTCGGAACCCCTCTTTTCACTAGATTTGATACCTGCAGACAACTTTCATTTTCCTACAGTGAACAGTACAAGATTTAGAAAACTATAACCAGAGATGTAAATTTTATTATTGTACAAAAGAATCAAACAGCTGTCTAAAGGGGCAAACAAGGCGTGCATATCGAAGGATAAAAAGTGAGAAGTATTTTATTCACCTTTAGGTTTTGTATGAAAAGAAACCTGAAACTATGTACTGTGTCAGTGAATAATATAAATATCAAATGACTTTCTCAAAAATTTGAAAATTTAAAATTAATTTATTACTTAAGTTATGCAGTGTTAAGGAAATTAAATTAGATACATCATCTTCAGTTTCCAAATGTTACTTAGGCTTTGTTGTTGACATGACCAAATCGATATCTAAATTTTGAATAACTCTTTTCTGATGAGTATTAAAATACACTCTGACACATAACACACAGCTTTAGCTGATCATAAAATGGGAAGAAGGACGGGGAGGACGATGTTTATCAAGAATACAGGCCGATCCAATCGAAACTTTGTATAGGACGGACGGCAAACGAAAACTGAGAATCACGGCGAATATCTAAATGACAATATATCACAGAACATGAAAAACATCCAAGGACGATGTGCAAAGACGCATAGTCCAACTGCATATGTGCATAACTTGGAACAGGAAAAAAAAATGAATGTTACAGTGCAGCAGTTATACAAATACTGCACTATTAACGTAGAAATCGCCGTTCTTTACTATTCATTCACATGCGGAGATTCATGGAAAGATAAGGATCTTCATATGCTTTCGCCACAAGTTGCAACATCAAAAGCCGACGCTAAACAGTCGATCCGTTAACAAGCGTGAGACGATATGCTCGTTATTACAGAAGTAATAAATTCTTTATTATTATCTCCATTTGCCATTATAAAGGTAATAACTTCAGAATAAATTTCAGAATATATCAGCGACAGCAGGCAGCAGCTATATTTCAGGAGGGTTACCGAAGAATGATTCAGTAACTTCTCTGTATAGTCTTTACCCATAAGTAATCAAATGATGTAAATATAAAATATAAAATAATTAAGTTGGCGTAATTAATTCAGGCTGCTAAATGTACCACGAACTGAACAGTCAGTAAGAAAGGACTCTCAAAAACCTGTGGCTAGAATGAACTAACAAGGAAAACAATTAACCAAGTAATTTACTTTTAAAACCAACTGGCTACTTTATAATTTTTCTTAATACTAATTTAAATTACCGATACTTTTCCGAATCTTAGTAATGCTCACTAATCGCCTAACTCATTATTGTTTCGGATTGTTAATTTATGCTATTAAATTCTTCGTAAAAGTTAGTATTTATGCTTGCTAAGCTTGCTGCAGATTATTGATACGTTATGCTTGAGTAAAGCAGACATTTATAGCCTAGAATATGAAAATCCAATTTAAGCAACCGAACACCAGTCTTCATAGACGTATGACTACATCTATAAGTATATAGGGAGATCTGAGCCCAGCTGTTTCCCCTTTCCCTATCGGTCTAATGAATAATTCTACTTAACTACTGGTAATTGCACTTCTTTGTTTTGCAGGTGCGAACTGACTGGCTGTATGGTTATGTGTTCGCAGTTCTAATGCGTAACATGAATGCGAGCTAGTTTCTTTTGGAAAATGCTTTTCGAAGCATTTTTTTCCCTTAGGCGGATAGACCTAGTACGTTTCACCAACGTCTAAAAAGTTCCAAATCTGGCTGTTGGCAAATGAATTGGGAAAAGGGAAATTAACTGTATTAAAAGAAGTTATGCTTTCGCCCTCTGCTTAGCAAAAAACTTCAAATATGTTGATAAGATCGCTTAAAATCAGTTAATAAAATCAGAGACCTATCATATTCTTAAAAAGAGTTTAATTTATGTCTGATCTTATCAATGTATGGCACTGTTCAGATGGAAATGTATTACATTCAGTTAGTTATACCACGATTCCCAATGGTGTGAACGATCAGCACAAAAATATTTGAGGACGAACTATCCAATTTACATATCACGTCTTTATTGTGAAACACGACACGCCATCTCCTGAAACAGCCAAACAGCTAACATCTTCTTTTACATATTCTCAGCAGCATTATTATGCCATTTTCTGAGATTTTCTGTAGTACCAATTTTATCGGGATATCTTTTTCAGGATTATGAATGATAAAATATTGCCCAGCTCCTACAGAATCTTCAGAGGCTGGTTAGGAAATCTAGTAATATATACACCAGAAAACTCATTACATATATAAAATATGTTCCCCGCAGGAAATCGTTTATATCACATTTATTAGCCATAAAGGAATGTTTTGACTTCTTATATTTTAGAACAATGTTTTATTTGCATAAATGACTCCAATAACTTATTTGGACTCTATTTCTTATTTATGCGTACTGAACATATAACATTTCATCTTCTTGGATGATACCACCTTGGATATCATAGTATAATTTTGATTTAAACGTATGAGTTATAACATTATAAAATGCTCGTCAGTCTAAATGTATAAAAAAGCAATATCATGAATATATACACTTTTTAAAATTTTATTCTATAAGGTATTTTTCTCGGTTTCTTAGTATGTCTTCGTGGTGTACTGGTCAGCACAGTCGGCGCGTATTCGAGAGCTCCAAGGTTCGAAGCGAAGGCATTGCTCCAAGGGCGAAGGCATTGCTCATTTTTCACAGCTCCTGTTTCATAATAACCTAATATCCCTACAGTGGTGCCCGAACTTAAAAAAAAAGGTGGGGATGACGCCTTCTTAGCATGCCTTCGTGCTGCAATGGTCAGCACACTCGGCACGTATTCGAGAGGTCCGAGGTTCGTGTCCCGGAAAAGGCATTGCTTATTTTTAACATCTCCTGCTTCAAAATAACCTAATGTCTCGACAATTCTAAACCAAAAGTTTACCTTTCAATAAATAAGTAAATGATCGGATTTAACATAAATATTTCCCCCTTTTTTAACTCATTACATACAAATGTAACCTTTTAATGATACATAACAGCAGTTTTATTGACTTTCTGCACTTGATTTCTATATGCAAATATATACAAGTACATATATATCCTAAAATATTCATGGAAAGACATCATTTTAAATCTGATTCCAGTGCACGTTCTTATCACAAGAATTTTGCAATATATATAAGTGTGGGAGAAGTTTCTTAAATTGCTGAATTCTTTGAAAATATGGAATGAAGCGACTGCTATTTACACAAAAACGTAATTCGCTTACTTGAAGACTTCCTTTTGAGCAGTATTCTGTGACGATATGTATACAGTTCGGATTGACACAAGCTCCAATGAATTGATTGATGTTGTCATGATGCATTTCTCTCATCTGGAAATAAAAAAAAAGTGCATATAAGCATTTTATGAAATGCAGAATTCCTGTGTTTCCTTATTTAGTATTTTAACTGAAAACGTTCTTATCAATTTCATAATAGAGCACATTTAATTTACAGTAAATAATGATCTGCAACAGCTATACGGTATATCCGCATATTATATCCTTTAAATCCGTTCTCTGTTAGCCGCCCATTTAATCTTGTTCCATTTCTTAATTAATAATTTTGCTCTATTTAGTAATTTCTTCTGGACTTGTCGAATTATAAAAACAGAGACTATTTCCTTTTTCAAGTTAACGTTATTTTACCCAAAAAATCGGAAATATACTCGTTCCTATATAAAATGACGTTATATATAACTTCAATAAAAGTATGGGGATGTCTCATCAAAGTTAATATTTTTAACTTTAATTTTAAAAAATTGATTGAACTTTTTTATAGATTTTTAAACACAAATTTCTTTAAATTAAATCTATAAATGTTTATTTACTTAAAAGAACTCAAATCTGTACATAACGAATAAATGTACTATTATAGTGTTATTTCGACACTATAAGAAAATTTATTAAAACTTTTTCTACATAAGTAATTTATAGTTTTAAAGATAATAACTGAATAAGTAATTTAATATTATTACAAAGTAATTTACTAAGTCACTAATATAAAGAAGATTTTCATCTATGAACAATATTTAGACTCCAGAAAGGGGAAAATTCCAGGTGTCAACGGTAAAGAAATTTTAAAAGTGAAACTGTATTCCAAATATTCATCTAGTAAATTTTATGATCATATAAATTCCAATGAAGAGTTGCTATGTAAAATATAAAAAATATGCAAAGGTGAAACAGAAACAAAAATTCCAGCTATGTACGTCATCTAGAGGAGACGTGCTAGAAAAACATGCGTTCTACTATTTTTCAGTATCTTGAGTATTTTATTGTTTTTAAAGTATGATTTCCTTTTGTTCCTTCACAGAAACTTTTATCCTTCACACAGGCTGTTGGATTTTAAATCCTTGTTAAGTATTTTTTTTTAAATGTCTTGGGCATCGGCATCTGCAGAAAATTTTTAAGAGTGGGGAGATTGGAGATAATTAATCACACCAATGAATTGTAATTCAATTTTTCAGTTTGCCGAAAAATACATTACAGAATATGGTATTGTATCACTACAAAAACACATGTTTTATATATATAAAATAAGAAACTAAATCACTAATAAATTATTAACTTAATTAGCAATAGCCCTTTAAATTTTTTCTTTAGATTTAATTATTTAACATCCTAAAATCCGACATCTGCAGTGTACTCCGCAATGTCGAATATTCTTGCCCAATCCCAGTTGACATTCCAGACAAGGAGTTTGGCCATCCCTATAAATGGCCCGACTGGCGCTTACCACGTGGTCCCTTTTTTCTCTTTCAGCTCCTGCTTCACTAACCTGTATAGCAGTCGCTTGTTGACTTTCCATTGTTTATAAATGTGATACGTTGTATAGCTAATGCAAAGTGCTTATTGTATTCATAATGTTCTTCCAGCTCAGCAGATAGCAGGTATTTCTAAGAAATAATTTTTCAGAAATAAATTTATGCCTTAGTAAAATTGTTTTGTGATTCATCAAAAGTGCAGTCATCTACAACGCAGTATAGCTATAACGAGTAATCACCCATCATCACTTGGTTAATTGCCAATTAATTGCTTGGTTAATTGCTAATTAACCAATCACTCGGTTAAATGCCGCTTTCTCCATAGAAAATGTTTCTTTATTTCCCCAGCCTAAATCATTACACATATATAACGTGTAACAGCACAAAAGCATACCTTTATTCGATATCAGCAGGGTTATACGCGACAGAACCCTTTCGAGAACGCCTGTCGTCCTATACTATTGCTCTGAGAATGTCGCAACCCTACTCAGTGAAGATTATTTTGTTAAAAGATTCTCTAAGAATAGAATAGCGTACATATTGTTGCGCTTCTGTACGGGTTCGCGGATTTGGAGTGATTGACTACAACATTTGCTGAAGAATGTAAACACAATTCATTAGCCTACATTATTCAGGATAGTTCCAAAATTACGTTTATATTCGTCGAAAACTAAGACAAGGACGCTGAAACAATCAACGACACAACCTTCAGGCTATCAGGCTATAACGGTGGAGACAACTTCACAGCAAAGCAAGAGAGTACAGCTCTCGACTCGTTTCGTCGTTCTCGGAAAACTCTCCACGCTACAACTCGCGATGCACTCGACGATAGCCTCACCGATGCACACTCTTGATGCACCAACTCGACAATAGATAACGATAAAAATCGATTACATTATGAGACACTCGATATACTAAGAGATACTGACTGCCTGGTACTCCGCGTAAGCAGGTTTATACAGCTTTTGGGCTGCTTTCGCGATGTTATGTAGAGAATTTGTCTGATAGCGTTATAAAAACTAGGTGAATGATTTTCTGATTTATGGAAATCTTAATTTTATTTGATTCTGATTTATTTACTCTAATGCTTTAATTTTGGGGAAAAACAGATGCTTCTGGGAATATTATTTAGTTTAAAAGAATATTATTTATTTTCCTTTATTTGCAAATCTTGTACAAGCTTTGATTCATTGTGAAAAGAAGCAGGGAAAGGGAGGCAATTTTTTGCTAAGTCATGATTCCGCGCGCTTTGTCCTTTAGAATGTTCTAGAAGGAAATTCATTGTGTAGTTGACCTTAAGAGAGGAAGTACGTGACAGAAAGGTCAAAGGTTGCTACTTGACTTTCGATGTAAGTCATTCAGGTTTTTGGCGATTGAGGGTCCGGCTGCTGTTGGCTAAGTGAAGAAGGGGCGCGCATGCGCGATCACCCTTATTTCCGCATTCAGGGGTTGAAAACGCAAATTTTGCCAAAATTAAGGGGGCGATAATTGAAGCCATAGTGGGAGCCCGCGTTTGTGAAGGAGACGAAGGAAATTCGAGTTGGAATCACTTACTGACTTGCTTGCTGATCTTACTTTAGGACGTTACTTTTGAAAACTGGCTTGAAAGCGATAGACAAGATGCAATTTACGAAGAGAGAAGTTTTCCGGCGGGGAGCGGCAAATATGCTCCCCGGCCGCATTTTGGTTAAGAGGCGAGACTTACTGATTGGCTGGCTGAACTTACTTTGGACGTTACTCTTGAAGCTTGCTCTTGGGATGAGCAAGAACAGGCGAGCGGTAATTGCCTAGGAAAACGTTTCTGGCCGGGAGCTGCAAACATGCTCCCTTGCCGCGTTCTGGTAAAAAGGCGAAATTGAACCGGGCGAGTGACTTAAGACTTTCAAGACCAGGCGGATAGCCGTGCTGGGCAGCAGTGCTCCTGTTTCTGTTTTACAGAGGTAAAATAACTTCGTCATTATGAAAACCAGTTACCTGCGTGTTGACTTAAGACTTTCAAGATCAAGCGGATAGCCGCGCTGGGCAGCAGTGCACCTGTTTCCTGTTTTCCAGAATTAAAGTAGCTTCGTCGTTATGGAAACCAGTTACCTGCGTGTGTGTTTCGCCAATAGTGCCAGGACAGGACGATGTCTTCTGAAACTTCCATTTGCAACCATGGATAAGGGCCCCGCCGACGTCAACTCTTATTAGGATACGAGTCCTCCACTTCAAGAGCAGATAAGTCAATTTTTTTTGTGTTGAACTTCAAGTAAGGGTCTACGATTTTCCTGGAATGTAAATAACAACGTTGAATCTTAATTTTGATTCACAGGCTTTCAATGTTCCCTTTCCCCTTCTAAATTACCAAGACAACCTTAATGTTTTTATATGAATTTAAATGGAAAAAAAAAGTAAGTAAATGACAAATTGAAGAATTCCACTTAGACTCTCTGATGAGGATAAGATTTTATTTTATTGGTTATGAATTCGAATAAACTGATATTTAGTCTGGAAACCTATTACAGTATGTTTCTTTATATACTTAATATGTTTTTCCTATATATCTTGTATATGTTTTTCTTATGTTTACGATCTTTTCACGGCGCGGTCCCGGGATGCAATTTTTACAACGCAAATGCATTAAAAAATTCACTATACGATCACTAAAAGTTTGGTAATTATCAAATTCTTAAGAGTTTAGTTTCCTCCCTAAGAGGAAGTAGAAACCTCTCACGGTAAGTAGTTTCTTATTTAACAATGGTGCCGTGAAGTAAGCTTCATAACATTATTTCCCGGCGTGAAGTAAGCTTCATAACAGCGATTATTCTGGGCCAAATTGGAAAAAAATTCATTCCAGAATGTTCCCCATCCATCTATGGCATACCGCCAATTTTGTCACCAAGTATGGCAACCCTGTCTTCTCTTGCCATTTTCTGGAACCCTAAACCCGCCTTGCGGGGAAACTACCTTATCGCAGCTGGACATTTCGTAACAATGTATTAAGTTTGGAGCGTAGACATTAAGAGCTAAAATTAAGATATAACTACAGTCCAACAGCGAAACAAATTATTGCTCAGAAAACTTACTGGCCAATAAAAACCTTCCCTGCTAACTCGTAAACGCAAGTGTTGAGACAAAACCTATCTCAGTTAGAAAAATTTCGAAAAAGAAAGTGAATTCATATCCATTGTTTCTACCTAACAGGTTACCTCAGTAAAAAAAAATCAGGTGGTATAAATAAAAAATACACTAGTGTCCCATTCTCATTTGCTTTTCATGGGGGGAGTCTTAGCTTTGGAAGTAATTTTATCCGACACTTTATACACTTTGATATAAAATACAATAAGCTTTAGCATTTAATAGCTATCAAAATACGCTAAAATAAATATTTATACTCAGATATATGCGTTTTAGAGCGATAGAAAAGTTAAAGAAGAACTACAGAAAACATAAAACGAAAAAAACAAATCATACAGATGTATTAATTCATAGAAAATTACTAACTATTTTCAATCTATTTAACTAAAAGATAAGCTGTTCGAAATATATTGCTTTTGTTTCGTTTCTAACAAGTCAATGTTGTATGAT